ACGAGCCAATACCTACCGTGCCCAAGCACGCTTCACCCCTAAAGGCCATGGCGAGCTTCCAAGAGGTGTGCTTCAGCACGGTACAGTTCTACACGAGCACAAGCAATGAGTACGCAACGTTGATGGCCTTCATTCAGGGGAAATCCTGGTGTGTTCTGGCTGTATCCCCATGTGGTCTACAGAGTCCCTCTGCACCTTTAAGAAAAAGCTAAAGAGCCAGCTCTTTCATGAATACCTACTAACTTAATGATGATGGTCTCCATATTATTGATGATGATGATGGTAATGACGATGGTTTTTGTTTGATAACGACGACTTATAAGATGGTTTCTATACTGATTAGAGCTCTCAAGAACTGCCCTCAATGTTGTGCTTTGCCTCTGGTCACTTCCTGTCAGCACCTGTGTGTCCAATCAGACTCAAAGCTGATCGTTTGCTCTTACTGACATTGTTCCCTTTTTTCTAGATCCTTGCTTGTGTTGTTCTTACTCTCTGATGTACGTCGCTTTGGATAAAAGAGTCTGCTCAGTGAATTGTAGAATTGTGTCTGAATAAAATGACTAAAAATAAGTCACAGAGTCAGTAAAGTACCCGTCAGGTTCTCTGTGTTGTTCTCTGATGTTCGGATGCGGACCGACAGTGCATCTTTTTTTTTTTTTTTTTCAAAGTCCACCTCTCTTGTAAACTAATGACGCTTCCTAATTGTGTAAAGCCGTGTTGTATTCTCAACATATGTACAAGAGGTAACCATGGTCAGACCTTGTTAGTCTTGGAGCAGTGTGAGTGCAAGCTGCAAGGGAATGAGGGGAGGAGTGGAGGGGAGGAGGGGAGGGGAGGGGGAGGGGGGGGGGGGGGCAATCGTGCTGAAGCATGGTACTGGACATGTTTGTATGTGAGTGCGCCCTAAGTGACTCATTTAGAGAGGCACAGAATAATCCACAATCGGTTGTTGTGATTACCTGTGTGGGAATCATTATTTATCAAGCGGTCTGCTCCCCTTCCCCCAACCCCACCCCTCTCTCACTCCCCTCCCCCACTCTCTCTCTCCCTCTGTATCTCACTCCCCTCCCCCCTGCCAGACTGCAGCCCAACCAGAAGCTTCAAAGGCGGGTTTATATTCAGCAGAGCAGTTCAAGAGAAAATGGCTGCTGTTTCCAGGTCTTGTTTGCACATCTGTCAGGAGGTGACTGTTCAGGAGAAAATGGGTTCCCTGGTGTGCTGGTTTTCCACATCATTCTTTTCAAAACCTGCATGTGCAGGAGGCCGCTGGTTGTGTAGTTCTCATTGCTCCATTATTTTTGTCTCCAAATGTTTAGTGTCTGAATCCTTTTTATTTTATGGCAGTGATGGACGGATGTTTGCCCGTCATATCTTATTTAAAGAGCTGCATAAACAATGTTGCTGATATCTTACAAAAGGTGTTTGAGTTAGCTGTCTGTCCAACTTGTTTATGGTGTGCCCTCTTCCTTCTTAAGATCCTCTTTCATCCACAGATAATTGGATCAATAAATTGAAAAGTAATGATTTGAGCTTGGTGCCTCAGACACGATCTTCTCACTATAAACAGTTAGCTAGATCAAAGTCATGTTTGCATGCCGTCTCAACACGCTGTCAAGCCAGTCCTGGATTGTGCAACCACCTGTTCAATGTATATCATGGCCTCCCATCAAATATTTAAAAAATGAAAATGCTCTCAGTTGTTATCTGGTACATTGGAACAGATTCAATGACTGTGCATACTTCTGTGATATCTCTTCAAACTGCAAACACCAGCAGGAAAGCTTTATTACACGTGGATATCTTTCAAGATAATGGATGTTAAGAAGGAAGAGGGCACACCATGAACAAGTTGGACAGACAGCTAACTCAAACACCATTTGTAAGATATCAGCAACATTGTTGATGCAGATGTACTCACCCTACCCCTCAGTTAGATGTGTCAGTTGTGTTGAGGTGCACAGGCAGTGGTAGAACATCAACAGCAGCCGTCCTCTGTCAGTTTTCTGGAAGTTTAGCCTTTAGTTTGTTGTACACTCCACTGCCAATAAACCAATATACAGTCTTTGATATTTCTACACTAGTAACTTGGAAGCAAACATGACTTGTAACCATTTTACACTGGGTGCCATGACTCACGTTGCCATAGCAACCTACACAGCTGTTTTTTTTTTTTTCTAGCTGTAGGGTTGTCTGCAGTATTTCCATGTTCTTCTGGGTTTTATTTTGAGTTTAACTGCAAAGCCCACTCTTTGCCATCCGGGCGTCTTGACTTGCTGAAATGTCGGTGGTTTGCTCGTGTTGTTTGTGATGATTCCAGAACTTAAAAATGTTCTGCATGAAGAAACAACACGGAAGCAATGTTCTGCCACGACAAAGTACATCTTGTCTGTCTAAGCTGTGTGTCTTTGTAGTAGCATCTTCATTCGTTCCCCCCCTCAGTGATGCCTGAGGGATCATATCCTCAGACTCCTCTTAGAGCTTCAGTGGATAAAACCTTCAAGTCACTGCAGAGGTTAGCATTTTGTCTGGTTTTCTGTAAAGCACATTGTTCAGTTAAAAGAGGCTCGGTTGCTCTGGGAGTTGTGTAATGGATGGTGGCATTATGGGCTCATCTGATTGAGGGATTATTGCTGCTGTCCTGCACCGATGGGACCTGAGCCCCTCCAGGCGGCCTGTTAATTACGTTTCTAGTTGTTTGGTATGAAGCTGCAGCCGTCTGAGGAGCAGCAGCCGCTTGGCTTTTATGTTGCTGCTTCCCCTTTCTACTAGTGTATGCTGAAGAGACATCACAGTGGTCCAATCAGGGCGCAGTGGATGAATTAGACACGTTCAGAGTTGTTTTTCAGTGGAAACAGATCAGTTTGTCTTAAAACCATGATTCATTTTTCTTTTTTTTTAGATTTATTTTTGGGCTTTTGTGCCTTTAATTGAGAGAGGACAGAGGATAGAGTCTGAAATCAGAGAGAGGGGAATGACATGCGGGAAAGGAGCCACAGGCTGGATTTGAACCTGGGCCGCCCGCTTGGCGCGCGCACTAACCTCTGCCCCACCATTATTCATTTTTGATATCTCAAAGAATCTGTTAATTGACATTGCAGTTCGTGCGGATGTTGTGTTTCTTTACTTCAGCTGTAACTGAACAGTGACTTGTGATATTTAATATTGTTATCCAGCTGTTTGTAACTAAGTAACTTCCTGTTTCTGTTTTGTCTCATACTTGTCACGAGCACATGGTTGACTGCACACAGCTATTTGTCATTATGATAATAACAGAGGAAGAAGTCTGCAAGGTTGTAAACATGGATATTAACAATACATCATTTAAAAGAATAAAACGCTTTGCAAAAAGAAAAGAGGTGACAGTGAGTCTACAAACAGCTAATGTAGACCTAACTGTTTTTAAAAGAAACCTCAACGACGTGTCTGTTTGTGCCCGAAACATAAAGAATATTCCAAGGTGAACGAGTGAATAATTCATGTTGAGTAACATGTTGAAGCCCCTCTGGCTGCATGCCCTCTGGTAATTGGGTCTACACTATTCTCTGTCTATTTTGCTTCATCTTTCTTGTTGCTATGCTACCGAAGGGGAACTTGAGTGGGCCTGGACAGTGTTTGGAATGAGAGAGTTGGACGGCTGTGCAGTCTTCATGGTCTGACACCACCCCCTTCATTTCTCTTTGTGTTCTCAGCTAAATGTTTGGTCCCTTTATGGAGGAGTGGGAAAGAGTCATATAGTTTATCATGACTCATTCTCAGGTTGTAGTGTGCTTTAAAAACCTAACCTTCTTATAGCCCCATCTCATGCCTGCTTTTATACGTACTGTATATTTCCTTTTGTTTACTGTGTGTGTGTGTGTGTGTGTGTGTGTGTGTGTGTGTGTGTGTGAGCAGTGGTCTTCAGCTCTGCTTACCTTGTACAAACTATTTGTGAGCCATTGTGAAATGATGAACACCACAGTATTATTGCATCGTTCATCAGCCTGAGGACAAATACAAGATGGAATTTAAAAAAACATAATTGCCTCTTTTGTTTCCTCTCCTCTCAGTTTTCTAAATGGAGATGTTTCCATGAGCTCTGGTAAACAGCTCTGTTTGTTGAGAGTAAGTACAGAAAGAAGGGAAGGTCAGGCTGGGAAGAAGTCGCTTCTCGCTCTCTTCTGTAATTCACTAGACAGGCTCTTAATATCTTTACTGCTTTATCAGGCTGCTTTCCATCAAGATGGCTGGCCGGGGTCACTAATGGGAAGCACCATTGGGATCTCTGTGGAAGCCAAATAGATATAGACACTCTCATTAAGACGGGGAGGAGAGGCTGGAGATAGTTACATTCAGTGCTAAACATGGATGAGCCGGCCATTGATGATGTCAAAGGAGGAAATCATGCAATGAGGAAAGATGAATCTGAGCGTTGACTAACAGAGCGAGATGTTCTAACATATCAGCATCACTCAACAAGGATACCAGCAGACTTTAAATCTGTGTTTATTGGATATGATTAAAGTCTTTAAATGTGATTTTTCACACTTAAATATAAATCAAGTTTATCCTCTGAAAATAACTCTGTGAGTCATGACTGTCTACAATGGGTGTAACACCCGAGTCCCACTGTCTGTGATGTTTTCAGAGTTTTCAGAGTCCTATCTTCACTTTGTTTACATCGCCAGGACGGCCGGCTGACTCCTCCCCTCGTGTATAAAAGTTGTTTAATTGAGGGACTAGAGAAAAGAAGAATAACATACTGTACTCACTGCTTAACTGTGTTTCTAGATCACGCTCATTTCAGGTAAATTTACATGCAGTGTGAAGATACCAGCATAATAAAGATCACTAGCATTAGCATGCTAACACAACAATGCAGCGCCAGTTGTTTTGGTTTCATGCTGGTGCTCAAGGGCGACATCTACTGGATCAAAACATCACATATAAAGACTTTAACATATTATTATGACACTTGCTGTGAAACACGACTAAATATTATTGATTTTCTCTTTCAGGAGTGAGCCCAGCATCAGGCTACGATGAGTATAACCAGTGACGAAGTCAACTTCTTGGTCTACAGATATCTCCAAGAATCAGGTTAGGGTTGTCAACACACTTACAGTGTTAATGTGTTTTTAATACATTAATTGGGGGTATTTGTTTCAGTGTCCATTTAGTAGAAGAATTGATTTATTATGCTTACACGATCCCTTTTAACAAGACTATTACTTAACATGCGCCTTTATTTTATTTTATGAATGGTCAAACTGCTTGCTCACAGTATATAAAGTTATATTAATGAGCTTATTCTGCACGGACTACAAGACTACTCATGCTTTCTAAAGTGGATACACTGACTCATTATGTCAATATCGTGTGAACTTTTTTGATCCATTAATAAAGTCTAAGCTCCTCTTTTTTTATTCATGAGACTGTTCATGAAGCCTTCTGGATGAGTGCATGGTACTAGTTGCCAAGAGGGCTGAACACCGCCTTTGGCAAGCTTTACTCTACCCTCAAATGTCACAATTGTTATGCAGTAGTGTTTCTGTATTTGATTACTGTGAGCTCGGATTGGAGGAAGACTTTCCTCTAAATGTTTGCTGTTGTGTTTGTGGACTTCTTGTGCTTGGCGCTCTCCTGTTAATGAATGTGAATGCTGTTTGTTTTCAGGTTTCTCTCACTCAGCATTCACCTTTGGCATCGAGAGCCACATCAGCCAGAGTAACATCAATGGAACACTAGTGCCCCCTGCAGCCCTCATCTCCATCCTGCAGAAAGGGCTTCAGTATGTGGAGGCAGAAATCAGCATCAATGAGGTGAGGGAAGGGACACGGCCTTAACAACTACTGATGATTTTATATCCTAACAATACAGAGGAAGACCCACCCGATGATCATTAACAAAAAACATCACTATAAACATGTCAGATATTACTGTTCAAGTCACATGGCCTCATGTTACCTACTACCGCCCTCTGCAGGACGGTACAGTCTTTGATGGTCGGCCAATCGAGTCGCTGTCTCTCATCGACGCGGTGATGCCGGACGTGGTGCAGACGCGGCAGCAGGCCTTCAGAGACAAGTTAGCCCAGCAGCAGGCGGCCTGCGCCATGTCGGCCTCGACCTCCGGACACCAGACCAACGCACCAAAAAATGGAGAAGCCACCTTCAACGGGGAGGAGAACGGCACCCACAACATGAGTGAGTTACATCATGATGTTCAGTCATCTATATGTAAACAACAAGCGGGTCAGTATCTTCAGATGGATAGAGTTTGGTTCATATCTACTACTACATCCTCTAAAAGATAGCTAGCTCCTGCATACTTCTAAATTTAGTAACAATTATGATTCACTTGCAGTTGACAGTAATTGATTTATTCCACATCCAAGCTTTCTGGCAATTCTGTGTTTGGAAGTGTGTGTTAATGCTTCGATTATTATAGAAGTGTGTGTGTGTGTGTGTGTGTGTCCGCTCTCAGATAACCACAGTGAGCCGATGGAGATGGATGGAGACGTGGAGATACCAGCGAGTAAAGCCACCGTGCTCCGAGGTCATGAGTCTGAAGTGTTCATCTGTGCCTGGAACCCCGTCAGTGATCTGCTGGCCTCAGGGTGAGAGATCTTTACTCATGCTGGGTTCACTGTCTGCACGCTTTTGTGTCTGCAGCTGATCCAGAACGCTGCTGCTAGAGTCCTCACCAGACCGCTCAGGTGGTCTGGGACAGGTCTGCTCTCTGTCCCCAGAGTCAGAACCAAACATGGAGAAGCAGCGTTCAGTTTCTATGCTCTCTATATCTGGAACAAACTCCCAGAAAACTGCAGGTCTGCTGAAACTCTCAGCTCTTTTAAATCCAGGTTGAAGACTCACCTGTTTACAGCCTTTCATTAAACAGCTTTAATAAGATTTTAAACTTTAACTCTGCTCTGTAACTTTTAACTCTTTTTATATTTTTACTTTATTTATTTCAATTAATTTCATTTGAATTGTTTTTTATTTGAACATATTTTCAGATTTAATCATTTCAGTGATTTGAATGTTTCTTTTCTTTTTTCTGTCATGATGTTTTTTGATGTGTGAAGCACTTTGAATCGCCTTGTTGTTGAAATGTGTGACAGAAATAAACTTGGCTTTTTTTTTGTTCGACACATAACATTCATCACTGACTCATTGTAATCCAAAATATCTTTTGTCCCCCCGTCCCGTCCCGTCCCGTTGTGTTGGTGTTCTGTTCAGCTCGGGGGGACTCCACGGCCAGGATCTGGAACCTGAACGAGAATAATAATTCCAATTCCACCCAGCTGGTTCTGCGCCACTGTATCCGAGAAGGAGGTCAGGACGTCCCCAGCAACAAGGACGTCACTTCACTGGACTGGAACGTAGGTTCACTCTTTATTCTTCTGCTTTTAACAAACAGAATCTTATGATGGTGAAGTAACAGATCTGTCATTTCAAACCCAACAGAGCGACGGGACTCTCCTAGCAACAGGCTCTTATGACGGATTTGCCAGAATATGGACAAAGGACGGTATGTCCTTCATCATTATAGCACTGTAGTTGTTTCCCTGTATGGAACTGATGCTAAATCTGAAACAAAAGCTTTAATTATTTTCTGTTTAAGATGCTGATGTTAGTTCATCTGTTATTTTTAATCATTCATAATTGATTTTCACATTTCCTCTTTAAAGGCTTTATATGTGATGTTTTGATCCAGCAGATGTCGCCCTTGAGCACCAGCATGAAACCAAAACAACTGGCGCTGCATTGTTGTGTTAGCATGCTAATGCTAGTGATCTTTATTATGCTGGTATCTTCACACTGCATGTAAATTTACCTGAAATGAGCGTGATCTAGAAACACAGTTAAGCAGTGAGTACAGTATGTTATTCTTCTTTTCTCTAGTCCCTCAATTAAACAACTTTTATACACGAGGGGAGGAGTCAGCCGGCCGTCCTGGCGATGTAAACAAAGTGAAGATAGGACTCTGAAAACTCTGAAAACATCACAGACAGTGGGACTCGGGTGTTACACCCATTGTAGACAGTCATGACTCACACAGTTATTTTCAGAGGAAACTTGATTCACATATAAAGACTTTAAATGCAACACACGTCTGCATAATGGACGACCCTCAGCGGGAACAAAACACCACAGCATGTTTGATTGAACAGTTACAACAGTTGTACATCAGCAGTCAGGACAGAAGACAGATCAGCTCAAATCAGTTTAATCTGCTCCCTTGACATTTTTCTAACAGAACTGGATATGGCTTTATTCATTAGGAAATCTGGCGAGCACCTTGGGGCAGCACAAAGGGCCCATATTTGCTCTCAAGTGGAACAAGAAGGGGAACTCAATTCTCAGTGCTGGTGTAGATAAGGTATGTCATTAAGGCCTCTGAACATGGATTTCTGTCTTTAAATAACCATGTCCTCAGCTTTTGTTTCTCTTGTTTCCCTCTACTAGGGCATCAATCCTTAAACATCATTTAGTAACCACAAACTACATAAATATATAAAGCATAAACTCAAGACAGACAACAGAGGAACCTTTAATTATATGATAGATATGTAACATGTTGTTGGATAGAAAGTGAAACTTCACATAATCTACAGAAAACAGAAAAGACGATGTTTTATTGTGAAGGATTCTTTGAACACATGACTGTATCAACAGCCAAATATGATTTAATAATAATTCATGTTACAGAGACATGTATTCAGGGCACTACTCTAGCGTCGTCTCTTTTTATTGGTTATTTGGCAGGATGCTGGAGGTTTTATTTGAAGCCCCCGCTGTTCTTCAGAATGATTCTGAAGTAGCATTAACTGTTTTATTTTACTGTAATTGTTGCATTCAGAAGTGCACCACTCATGGTTTGTAATAATTTAATGTTTTTTTTCCAGACGACAATCATTTGGGACGCTCATACAGGAGAGGCCAAGCAGCAGTTTCCCTTCCACTCAGGTAAATCAGAGCGACTGTATCCAGAACAAAAGAAGGCTTTTCAGCTGAGATAATGAACGGTGTGCTGAATGTGTTCTGCTACATTGTGGTTGCTTCGTGGGCTTAATGCATTGATTCTTGGGGGTCTTGGGGGTCTTGGGGGTCCTTGGAATAAATTACAAACAATTGTAAAAGTGTGCTATGTCATTGAAAAAGCATATCTACAAACTGGGACCTCTTGCACCAATAAAATCAGCTGTTTAGTCCCGCCCACTTTAGTTTTGTGCCATTAAATCAGTTCTGATTTGATCGTGACATGTCTGTCACTTCATCGTGCACAACAATAAAAAAAAAAAAAAACTCAAAACAAAGAAACACCTCGGAGCAACATTTTCTCAAAGTTTATCAAATGAATTACATGGAAAGTATAAATGTAGTCTAATTCTATCGTTGCAAAGTACTACATCGTACATTTGTGGCTATTTGTCCAAAAAACGAATTAAGTTACAATTCTAAAGAAACCACATGAACTCAACAAACAGCCACTGATGCACCGTTCCAGTGAGGCCTTACGCACACAGTAAGTTCAATGTCCAGTCAGGATCTCTTGTTTCTTCATTTAATTTAAACATTTCTAACTGCATTCATTGACCTGTCTCATCGACATGTGGTAAAAAAACCTGTGTCCCTTCCTGGTGCATCACCCAACAGTGACACACCTGGAACATTTAAAGGGGTCCTAATCAACCCATGTGCACTGCCCCCTGCTGTTCACAAACAACAAAAACAACAAATAACCAGAAACTGGCTGCGTCAACATTATTCTAGTATTAATATAAGCTTGTCAACGTTATGATAATGAGGGGGTTCCATGGTCTAAACAGTTTGAGAACCCCTGTCTTAATGAACCTTATGATCTTCATATTTAATGTCTGCACAGCTCCAGCCCTGGATGTGGACTGGCAGAACAACACGACCTTCGCCTCCTGCAGCACAGACATGTGTATCCACGTGTGTCGGCTTGGCAGCGACCGGCCTCTGAAGACCTTCCAGGGACACACGGTAAATACGCCTCTCATCGTAACCCCCCGGGCTTGATCCCTCGCCCGTCAGGCTAACCAGTTTATGTTTTACAGAATGAAGTTAACGCCATTAAGTGGGATCCATCGGGCATGCTGCTGGCCTCCTGCTCAGACGACATGACCTTAAAGGTAACACTGCTCCTCACACATCAGACATCAGACCATCAGGACGACATGTTTTAATCCATTTACTGTTTTCTGTGAACACACAGATTTGGAGTATGAAGCAGGAGTCTTGTGTCCACGATCTCCAGGCTCATAGTAAAGAAATCTACACCATTAAATGGAGCCCCACAGGCCCGGGCACAAACAACCCCAACTCCAACATCATGCTGGCCAGGTGGGAAACCTCTCACACATAACAACATTCAAATCTGTGCACAAATCAACTCTGGGCAAGATCCAGGAAGGGGTTGTGCTGCTTTTGAGGGCGCTTAACCTCATGAGAGAAAAAGATAAGAGAGCAGATCATCAGCGTCATAGATGCACCTGTCTCATTTTCGTCTTTCAATTCAAAATTGAAATAACTTTATTTATTAGTTAGGAACTTCATTTGTGTAACAGAGCATCAGTGTGCATACAGCTCGACACAAACAACAGCAGAAACACACACATACAAGGGGCTCTATTAACAGCATGATAAACACGTCATAAATAACTGTTATAAGTGGTTAAAAGAATGGTGTTAAAAATAAATCAGAAATAGATCGTGTGTGTGTGTGTGTGTGTGTGTGTGTGTGTGTGTGTGTGTGTGTGTGTGTGTGTGCTGTGAGGTGTGTGTGTGTGTGTGTGTGTGTGTGTGTGTGTGTGTGTGTGTGTGTGTGTGTGTGTGCTGTCTGAGGCTGTGTGTGTGTGTGTGTGTGTGTGTGTGTGTGTGTGTGTGTGTGTGTGTGTGTGTGTGTGTGTGTGTGTGTGTGTGTGTGTGTGTGTGTGTGTGTGTGTGTGTGTGTGTGCTGTCTGAGGCTGTGTGTGTGTGTGTGTGTGCTGTCTGAGGCTGTGTGTGTGTGTGTGTGTGTGTGTGTGTGTGTGTGTGTGTGTGTGTGTGTGTGTGTGTGTGTGTGTGTGTGTGTGTGTGTGTGTGTGTGTGTGTGTGTGTGTGTGTGTGTGTGTGTGTGTGTGTGTGTGTGTGTGTGTGTGTGTGTGTGTGTGTGTGTGTGTGTGTTCTCCTTTTAGTTTTGTTTGTAAATTAGGGATTATCTCATCTCCAGAGAACTCATCACCACAGGAAGTTACAGCGAAAGTTTTTAGACATTTGGCATCAAAATAAACTCTGAAACACGTTTCTCCACATTCAGACTCAAAACAAGAGCAAACTGCACGGAGCGGAACAACTCTGTGGGGGTGTTAGCGCCAACATATTATTAATGCTAATTCTTTTATGGATAGGGTTCTGTGATGGAGCAGACTGTGGGTACTCTGTTCTGCACGATTCATGGTGCTGTTACCAGGTGCAATCCAGTGTTAGGGGAGGGGAAACTTGTTCCTAATCCAGACTTAATCCCAGTACCAGTTACTGTTAGTGGCCCTCAGCTTTAAACTGTGACCTTTATGTTCATGCATGTGTACATTTGAAATACCTCAGAAAATGACGGGCCATACCAGAGCAGCATACCTGCCTGTAAATCACATTGAAGATAAAACTGCCTGCATCGCCATCGCTCAGAAGGGCTTTCAGAATCTTATGTAAATGCCAAACTGCTGAAGGAAGCCGTTTTTAATGCTGTTTCAAAGATGTTTACGATAACGTTTTTTAAAAACTTTATCAGAGGTGAAATTTGCTCAGGACGAGATGTTCAGTTTCCTGAATGATGATGATGTGTTATCTTATCGTTTCTGTTTCAGTCCTTTCTTTATTAATTCACTGCATCATAAATATATCTCACGGGTATTTCACAAAGTAGCATATTCAGTCATTTTGTGACTTGTTATCCCCCCCCCCCTCCTTTGTTTGTTATCCATGCATGAGAGACTTTACATTTACAAAGTTGATTCTGGTTTAGAAAAGCTAAAGCTGCTCTCTTTTCTGTTTTTTCCACTCAGCGCCTCTTTCGACTCGACAGTTCGGCTTTGGGATGTCGAGCGGGGGGTCTGCATTCACACGCTCACTAAGCACCAGGAACCCGTGTACAGCGTGGCCTTCAGCCCGGACGGTAACCACCTGGCCAGCGGCTCCTTTGACAAGTGTGTCCACATCTGGAACACCACGGTAAGCTTTCCATTCAAACAGAAAGCAGAGAAGATTCTTTGTAAAAAAGTTAAAGAGAGTCATTGACAAGTTTCACTGTTTCAGACTGGAGCCTTGGTGCACAGCTACAGGGGCACCGGGGGGATTTTTGAGGTTTGCTGGAACAGCACTGGAGACAAAGTCGGTGCCAGCGCATCAGACGGCTCGGTAAGCATTTTCATGAAGAACTTTTTAAAGGCTTTATATGTGAAATCAAGTCTATCCTCTGAAAATAACTGTGTGAGTCATGACTGTCTACAATGGGTGTAACACCCGAGTCCCACTGTCTGTGATGTTTTCACAGTTTTCAGAGTCCTATCTTCACTTTGTTTACATCGCCAGGACGGCCGGCTGACTCCTCCCCTCGTGTATAAAAGTTGTTTAATTGAGGGACTAGAGAAAAGAAGAATAACATACTGTACTCACTGCTTAACTGTGTTTCTAGATCACGCTCATTTCAGGTAAATTTACATGCAGTGTGAAGATACCAGCAGAATAAAGATCGCTAGCATTAGCATGCTAACACAACAATGCAGCGCCAGTTGTTTTGGTTTCATGCTGGAGCTCAAGGGCGACATCTGCTGGATCAAAACATCACATATAAAGCCTTTAAAATGTATTTATTTATTTGTGTTGCATGTTGTGAATAACATTAGCTAACACATATGACATGTTCTTTGAAAACAGCACACTACATGTTTGTTGAGATGTATTAATAATGTTACCTAATCCTCCTTCCAGGTTTGTGTTCTTGATCTCCGAAAATAGCCGCCTTGAGACTTTGATGATGTATCCTGGAACGTGCAGCAAATTGCCTTCTTCTGCCGTCAGCAAACAAACTGTCACTGCTCAAAGAGACAAAGAGAGCTGTGGAGTGAACCTGCAGCAGCTTCTGAGGAGGTGCAGACAACATCTACCTGCTGATGTGTGTTTTATGAAACACCTCAAATCAGTTCAGAGATCCCCAAGACTGGACTGAATCCATCTCCCTGGGTGCATCCATGTTTCAGAAGGTTTCTAACGATGACGTGCTGTGATCCCGCCGGGCCCCGGTACAGCTGTTATCGGGTTGTAAGGGTGGAAACGCAAAGATGAGTTTTATATGAAGAGAGAGAGAGAAGTGCAAATGAGACAGGTGAAAGGTAAGAAGATTTAAAAGAAAGGCTGTGGTTTTTAAATTCCTCTGAGAAAATGTTATTTCATGTTCAAGAGTAACATCAACACTGAAGCACTAGTACTGTCTGCTAACCGGCTTCTTCTTCTCAGTGGATTCAACAGTACTTCTAGTTTTTTTTGTTTTTTTTTGCATCTATTTTCCACAGACAGACTTTTTGAAAGTGAAAGTTGAATGTGCCGCTGAGACGTAGTTTCACATCAGGTCAACTCGAGGAAAAACCTGCCAAGACACAGAGCTCCCAAACTGAACCGCCTAGCTCACCTGAGATTACAGAAACGATGTGAGGAGTTTACAAAGAGAATTTTCTCCCCTCTTTTTGGATGTAAATTTTAAGAATGTAAAGAAATGTAAATTAGATACACAGACTTATATACTGTGTATATGTTTATATACAGTACACTTTCTGGTAATCCTGTAGGGGCTCATTAATGACTAGAGCTGTCAAATCTTTACTGATAACATGGACAAGAACGCTTTTTAAACCAAGTGCATGTCTCGTCAGCTTCTTTTAATTCAGTCATTTCAACTCGGCCAATCACACAAAAGCTTTCTGTTGTTGTTTCCTGTGAGTCACAAGATGCTTTGATGTGTTGGGTAACTTTGCTTTTTTTTTTACATTTGATCCCTGAAAAATGGAAGAAATGTTGCACCTCATCATTATCAGCATTCAGAAGTGAGCAGGTTAAATAATGTGGGAGGGGCAAAGTCCTTCTGCTTCATCTTAACAGAGAAGTGAAACAAAACCAGCTTTAACATCTGTGGATTATGACTCTCTGAACAGTCTCCTGAATATTTGGATCAAACAAAAGTCCAGATCTTAAAAAGAAAAAAAGGGCGAGGTTTGGTCTTAAGCCCCCTCGTGCGGTGCCAGCTGATCAGATCTGGTCACAAATTCAAAATTCCTGTGTCGTGTTATTGGCTGAGCTTCCTCTGCTTACTGGGATCTCGTGGTGAAGATTTGAAATGAACTCTCCACGGCTTTCATTTGCCTTTTTTTTTTTTTTGGTCTCCTTTCCTTTTCAGTCGACTTCTGCAGAGACAACATGAAGTGCACTTTTGAAACAGTGGATTTAGTACATGTTCAGATTTAGCTGAAAGTGAAGGGCCAATGTTTTATTTTTGTCTCTCCCCCCCTCCCCTCTTTTTTTAATGTCACATTTGGATGTTGATGGGTGATTAATTGTTTTTTCTGACTTCTTCATTCGAGAGCCATTATTGTCTGTGTCAGACTGAGAATTGGGCTGGGGGGGGGCTGGGGGGGGTGCTGGGGGGGGTTGTTGGCCGTTTTTTGGCATGCTGAGGGGCTCAGTATGGAAGAAGTGCTGTGACAGCTACTCTCTCTTGTTCAGGGTTTGGTCACTTGTTTCCAAGACAAAACTTTGGAGTCATTCAGTGTCTCAAATAAATCACTCTATTTTGATATCAGACACCATGCAGTCTGTGTTTTTCTTCTTTTCCAGTCATTTACCATCGTCTGAAATTGGGGGGGGGGGGGGGTAAAGGTCAATGTGTGGTCGTCTGCAGCAACTCGGGGAAAAAAACAAAAAAACAATAAGAAAGTGTCAACAACAAAACTTTAAGAAACATTTTGGACGTTTAATATCGTATAAAATAAATGTGCAAAATACAACATGGGCTGTTGGCGATACAGAAACTTTAAAAAAAAAAAAAGAAACACTGATGAGCTTATTAGCTTCTGTTGTGCATTCAGAGCTTCATGATGGTGACAAAGCAGTAGTGCATATTTCTAACAGTGAATCTGCCAGGTGGGGTCTTCTAACACCTCAGCCTGTGAGTTCTTCATGAGGAAATGTTCCATTTGTTCTGTCTACAGATGATGGCTGTTGAATCTAACACTTCACTGTACTCCAGTGGAGACGGATTTTAAAAAAGCTTAAGAAGAAATAAAATGCTTTGAATCAAGAATTACACTGATTCTGTCTTAGCAGCTAACGAGATCTCATGACCGATTAATGTCAGGGGATCTCACAACAGGGCAGCAAGAGGCTACGAGGAGACAATCTGACACACAAGAAACTAAACATGACAACACTGGAGAAGTAGAGGGAGGCATGCTGTTGATCGCCCTCAGCTAGTGCTTCACAGAGTTCTCCAGGGATTCTCCGTCTGCGTCTACATCCTCATAGTCTCGCAGCTCGCCGGAAATGTGGATTTCAACTGTACTAGACTCTGAACCTAGCAAGACAAAATAGGGGTAGATTACTCGACACCATTGCCATGCTCAAACTGTAGATATATATATATCTTACATATGTGCAATGATAAATGTATTTTGGGAATTAAAGTACACATTTGCAAATGCAGTCTATAATGGGATTTGTTTAATCTAGTGCATTTTAAAAGCGAGCCGTATTTTTTAAAATCTTTACCTGCATTCGACCAAAAGTAGTGTGAAGGCTATAAAGATAAATGAAAAAAAAACATAAATCTTTTGCAAGATTTACTTTATTTTTTAAAAACTTGTCATTTCAGAAACACTGAATGGTTACAGAAAAAACTGAATTATAGCCTTTTGTACATGATCTTCATAATGCACATTAAAAAAAGTAAAAAAAAAAAAAGAGAAGATATCAAATGTTTTATAAAACCATCCCAAAATACATTTAATGGTAAATAAAATAGTTTTCAATGCAGCAGTTTTTATGTTTTTAAGTAGAAAAGCTCAGGTAAGGACAGTGTGACCACTATGATCTGAATGGAATTGGGCCACCATAAATATGAATACTTATGTATTTACTTTGCCTCACTTTCTTTGTCAAAATGCATGCTGTGAAAAAAACCCAACAACATGTACATCAGAGTTCAACCTGCACTGAAAATGTCTCCTACAAGATTCCTGCAATCGATCGTACATTTGACTGAAACATGTTCCCAAAATGTCTTCTAGCAATATATCAGGAACACTGCTGAGTAAGACAACACAATAGTAAAGTCCAAAATGGCATCTAAGTTTAACCATGAATTCAGTAGCTACACTTTCTAATTATTTAGTGACTTTGGTATTAGACTGCATAAGTTAAAGCGTGATGACTATTACTGAACTATTTGACCTCGTTCATCGTGACAGTTAACCAATCAGAAATGAAACACAAAAATGGAAGTGGTTTATTGGTACCCAAGCTGAAGCTTCAACCAATGAGGTCAGACATTCAATATAAAAAAACCTGCTCTGCCACTGTGGGTTTGGACCTGAATTTGTTATTAACAAAGAAAACATTTTTGTGTGATGCAATTTCACAATTATGTGCTATTCAACACGGCATCCAATCAGATAATTCTGCAAGATGTTACGTAACATCATATGCATCATTACTGCATCCAGGACCAGTTAGAAAAAGTATTTATTTTTAAATGAGACTAATCACAGCGAGCTTTAACTTGGTGCAGGTCGATGTCTTCAGAGCTTTGGCACCTTTGTCTTTTTATCAACAAAAAAAAACAAACATCTCGACTACAAACAAAAATGTCTTTGGGCAGTTGGAGCATTTTTCCCGGCTATGTTATTCTATAATTTTTCAAGATGCACTCCAGTGTGATAAGTTTAGTTTCAGCTTTAGAGCTTCACCAGCCCTGATAAACAGGCGAGCTGTTACTGCCACTGAGAGCCGGATTACCTTCTGAGAGGACGCTGATGGCGTCGGAGTTGTGCTGTCCGTTACCCATCAGGCTTTTCTTGGCTTCCTGGATGTGACTCTGGTAGAGCAGAGTGGTTCCCACCATGGGGTTATGGCCCGCTGCGTTAGGAGCTGAAGTAGAAACCGAGTCCCAGGCCAGCTCCCTCCTCCTCTGCAGGCTCAGGTCCACATCGAAGCCCGTCCAGCCGTGGAAAGCCAGCGTGTTGAGGAACGCTTGCATGGGGTTCAGGATCCCCTGGAAGAGGGAACATTCTCAACTCAACTTTATTTATAAAGCACTTTAAACACAACATAGTCGATCCAAAGTGCTGAACATTGCAGAAACAAAGCATTAGAAAGTAACAGACAAGAACAACAACAACAAAACACAAGACTAACAGAGCTCTGGGTTTTTGTGCTTGACGGGTTAAAATGAAGAAGTTTACATTTCTTGACTCTGATAAAACTTGAACATTATGTTTGCATTGTTTTTAACTCACCATAATAAACCATGTAATGAGGGCTGCATTTCTTATATTCCTGAACCTGTTGTCATTGATGTCTGTTTGCACTTCCAGGTAGAAGAGGAGGCACTCGTTGATGATGTTTGGAACCCAGCTAAAAAGTCAGGAAAACAACGAGGCTTAAAAAGAGCACATGTTTTCACCACAGAGGAAAAAAGAAAGCAAGATGTGAATAACATGAAACTCATATCTCATGAACTCGATCGAGCTGTGGAAAACAATCGTTCATTCATCGACCTCTATCGAGAATCAGCGCATACAAGTTTTCATGAGTTTGCCTTGTGAGAGTCACATTACTGCAAAAATTACATCACAGCACGAGTGAGTGTGGAAAAAGTAAAAACTCCAAACATCTTTGTTGGAAAATAGTAATTTTATGGGGAATGCTTTTGTTCATTTGTGCCCATTGATGTCAAATTACACGTCACAATGAATCCTTTTTCAACCAAACTGCTGAGCATCAATAACTCAACCTTGTGTTTAAGTGTACAGAAGGTCGATGCATATATTGTTTTCTTTGGATTTCATACAATATCAAAATATAATTTTGTGAAAAACATGTTTGGAAAAAACCTGATTACCAGCACTGCTAGTGTGGTGGTAGTGGACCTGGGTTTGATTCAAAGGCAGTGCACAATTATGTTACTATGCATATAATACTTTTAACACTTTGGTGACGTTTGAATGTATTCTATATACAGACACCCACCCAAAAAGACAGAGCGCTACTGCAGGTCGTTCATCCCATCTGCCATCACACTGTTTAACAACATCACCACCTCATGCTACACACTGTGTGTGTTTTTAATAACAATAACTCTTTCCAGTGTAGTTACTGTGTCATTTTCCATTATTGTATTTTTTATTTAACTGATGTAAATATGTTTGATTTTTAACTTCTATTTTTATTTTTAATAATTATTTTCCCGTCTCCTGTTTTCTGGAGCTGCTGTAACGCACAAATTTCCCCCACGGGGATCAATAAAGTTTATCTTTATCTTTATATCTTAACATTTTTCTATTTATTTTTGCAGATTTCTTGAACTTCACAGCAAATGGAAACTACATTACAATGAAAAGTTTTATAACAGAAACAAAATGTATGTTTTGTAGTTAAGAAGATACAAATCAGAAATACAGAAATATACTTGTAACTGCCTCTCATGTTTAGTTTTTGTTTGTCCAACCTTTTATTATTGTACTTCCGTTCTGCAGTCATTAAGGCGGAACTAATGATTATTGATTGTTCCGCACGTAGCAGAAAAAAAATCACGTTTTAACACCATGGTTTTTACACAGATAATAATGAAAACATAATTACAATGATTATCAGTGTGCTGTAGAAACAATTGACTTTTGTCAGAGCCAAACTGTTCCTTTCCCCTCCCAGAGCTTAAAATCTATTGCTCGCTCTAGACGAAATAAAACCCAAAGAAATCACTCTTTTTTCATATTGTGTGTAATTTGTATTTGATTAAACAGACAAAAGAGACAAAACATCTATAAGACAAAGTAAACCATTAAAGCAATAAGAGAGAAATCTCATCTTTGTCTCATTTTTGTCTCAAGAGATTTTCATTTGACCAATATAAGAAATAAACGATCCTTATTGGAGATCTTATTTTTCTTTATCAATGGTCTCATCTGTATCGCTCTGTTAGACATTAAGCTACAGGCTCCACAACTTCAATCAATGTTGGAAGATTATAGATTAATCTAGAAGATTAGATTAATCTAGATTATAAAAAATTGATGAAAAATGGAGAACCACTGAAAGTTTCAGTTTTTTTTGGCAGTTTATTCAGTTGATTTTGTGATCGCCCAGAACGAGGTTTTTAATTTACTAACTGTAAACAACAACAAAAAAAGCAACATTAATACACTGATAGGCTTTAAATAAATACATGTTTCATAATTTCTACTTAAAAAGTAAGCAAGCAATAACCTTTCTGTTGATTAAGGGTTTTATGCATAAAAGGAATTATGTGTGAAAACTTTAAGTTCTGTGAGATAAATAATATATTTATCTTGTGTATCCCATAAATGAATCCTCTTATTATGTCAAAGTGGTGATAAGATATATCTGATAAGACATAGACCTGGGGTTTTTCTACTGTTTAGATCATATTGAGATTAATTTAAGACTCACACTTGTCTCATTCATAGATGTGAGCTTTTTTAAAAAAGAGACACATGTAAGACAAATTTAAAGAACTTGAACTCATCTCAACTTTTCTCATTTTTTTCTCAGCTGAGATCTCGGAATGAGAAAACCTTAAGACTATTCAAAGAACGTGGATTGTAGACTGAATCTTAATTTTTCTGACAACTTCGAGAAGTCACTGTTTTATTGAGTGAGCATAGATCCTGGAAAGAGACGACTTTAAGAAATATAAGAAAATCTGTGAGACAAAACCATCTTTATGTGTCTTTAAAATCTGTCATGACGAGTGCACATGTTTGTCTAGGAGACAAAATGAGACATGAATAAGATCGTATCCTACATTTAATTGTTTACAGCTGCCTTTCACAATTTTAATAAGATTTTAAACTTTAACTCTGCTCTGTAACTTTTAACTCTTTTTTATATTTTTACTTTAATTTTTTCAATTAATTTCATTTGAATTATTTTTATTTGAACATTTTTTCAGATTTAATGATTTCAGTGATTTTTTAAATGTTCTATTTGAATGTTTCTTTTCTTTCCTCTGTCATGATGCTTTTTGATGTCTTGTGTGAAGCACTTTGAATTACCTTTTGTTGAAATGTGCTACATAAATAAACTTGTCTTGCCTTAATTAGCTATAGGCTGTTTCCAGTCTTCAGCTAAGCTAACTAGCTGCTGGTTGCAATGATTTTTTTATGTACAGTAGTATGAATCTTCTCATGTAGCTCCTGAAGAAAATGTATTAAATTGAAGGTGCTTCCCAAATATGAAATGATTCTTCAGACGTCTGTCTTTGAGAATGGAAACTTACCAAATGAAGAACACCAGCATTATTTTAAAGAAGCGTATGGTGATCTCGTTGGCTAGCCGCCTCTCGTTTTCGGTGTAGATTCCTTGTCGTCCTTTCAGTAAAGATGTAACTAAAGTTAAAGGATGAGAGAAGAGGTTGTTATTGCTCTCATCTATCTGTCACAGATCATTTCACGGGGGGGGGCTGACCTGCAGATATGGTCCGGTTAAAGAAGATAGGATTGGCTATGAGGACGAGCATCATCGGGGCGTACGTGGTGACGTAATGAGGGATGGCGTGCTCGAGGCCTTTTTCACAACTGCAGAAAAAACACAACCACAAATAACTTCACAGTTTGAAACACAGTTCTGTCATCTTCTCAATCTCCTGACAAGACCAGCAAAATGCTAAAAGATGCGGGATGGTGTCTCTTACTCAGAGATGGACGGGTAGTAGAGCATGGCCACTCCTTCAACACACAGCAGCACAGCCAGACCCCACGTGATCATGTGGTACAGGATAATGGTGCTGAGAGGGGAAAGAAACAAGTCATGGGACCGAGCTCACAACACACGCTGCAGCTCTGTGCCTTTTGTTGTGTGCAAAGAACAAACGCAATACACAGCCGGGGGAGGGAAACATACTGGGACTTATATATCTGATTATAAAGAAATGTCAGACCAAATGGTGCAGCAAAAGTCAACAACCAAATTTAAACCAATTCAAGACTGTAGTAACAGAGGAAGCATTAAATCCACAGTAAACGTCTGATACTGTAAATGACAACTCGGTTTAAAGCTTTGTGTTCACATGGAGGAATGTTGAGGTGTGAAGTTATTGTTGTAAAGAAGATGTTCAAAGGACCTGATTCCTGCAGATGTTTTCACCACTAGGAAGACGTCGACAGCGTAACAAAAGGTCCACCAAAATGAAGCGCTGAAAAATAACTGGATCCACAGCTGTAACACACATAAAGGATGATGTGTTTCACCAAAAGGTCTTAAGAACAATAAATGTTCCGGTATAACAAAATGTTGTTGTTGTGAAGTTATTTGTTGTGCGTGTTCGTCATGCATTAACACAAATCATCACTTTTAACCAATCAGGATGTTCAAGGATCATCAAAGATTTGCTTTTAACAAAATGATTTGTTTGTTTTCCTGTGTGGTTACATGTTCAGGTCATCAGTCGAGCATGAATCCATTCTTGGACTTTACAGTTTAAGGCTTATTGTGGACAAAGGTGAAGCTTTATGAGAGCGGTTATGTATGAGAGAGATCGTACGTACCGCACTGCCCACACAGAAGACCTCAGGCCAGACATCAGTGTTGTTTGTTACGGAGATTTCTTTAATGATGTTTGGAAGGCCCAGCCAGACAGATGAACGTACAATGATGCCTGCAGGAGTAAAAACAACACATGGCCTTTAATGAGCCAATAAGACAGAACCTGCTGATGAAGAGGAGCAAAGTCAAACAAGCAGGTGATGTGAAAGTTGAAATCAATGATTACATGAGGAATTATTAAGTGTGGTAAATCATTAGATTAGGTTGCAGTACAAATTGCCCCCCAGCCAGGACGGTTTCCATTCCCACCCCCCAAAAAACTCTTCAACCTAGCAGGGCTCCCAACATAGATCTGTAATGCAAATTAAAAGTTGTTGTGGTTTTCAACTGTAATGTGCCAAGCTGTGAGTTTACAGGGACCAAAACAATCTCCTTATCCCCAAATACAGAGACAAAGTGATAAAAAGAGTTAAAATAGATGAAATATTAAAGAACTGTGCAGACTGTAAAATAAAACGTTTGCAGTTGTTACGAGTCAAACTGTTACTCAACATCTACTCCATCTTTTATTTTGTAATCCACATCGAATGACAGTTGTACAAATTGCGCAATTTAGTGAGAAACTCCTAAAAGTTATGTTTTATGTGTTCTCTCAGTTGTTATCAAGCAGGCAAAAGGGCAATAAAGGGTTAACAACACATTTTCGTGCGTAATTCGTCCTACAAAGAGCAACACCACGTTGTCTCCATGTGCTGCGTAAATCTAAATCAGTAGTAGTACAAGTTATCTCCTTACCTGCACATCCTAGTATGTCACATATGCTGACGATGAGCAGGATCCGGGATGAAGAAGCAGGCCTGGGCAGAGGATATTGCCCCAGTCTTCTGTATCCTTTGCGTTTTGGCAAAATTTGTAAAATAGCGAAAATTAAGCTGAGGCTGGCGCTGCCCAGACTCAGAGCCCCGAACAAGGTGGGCTGAAAGGTGACCACAAACTCAGACGCTGCGTCTCTGTTAGGGCAGCAGAAAGTCTCCAGCCGCGGGGATGCCATGACAGACTGGAGACAGAGAGAGGGAGAAACAGAGGAGGAAAAGGGAAGAAAGAAGTGGGCTGTGGGTGTCAGGGGAAAAAAAGAAAAAGAGAAGAAAAGGAAATGATTGGACTCAACTAAGAAATCACGGGGCTGAATCATCATGTGCTTCTTTTTAATCCCTGCAGCTGTAGTTTAACTCAACCACAATGCAAGAAACACACAAAGCACTGTTGTGTGATGAAGTGTGAGTTTGGACTTAAGTTATGTGTATGCTACTGTCTACTTCAATATGTTGATTTATGTCCCGGGTGTAACTGCAGTACAGTTTAGAAATACTACACATGTCATCATTGTTAGGTTGTGTGTTGTTTTGTCTCCCTCTGCTGGTTGTAATATGTAACTGTTTGTAACCTGTTGACTGATTGCTTTTGTCTCTCCCTCAGGTGTGTATGCTCTCTCTCACTCTCTCCTGAGAGTCACAACAAAATGTCTTTTCTGTCTGAGTAATCTGGTAGAGGGTTTATAGGGTAGGGTAAGGGATCCTGTGGCTTAGAGGGTGTGTCCCCACCCGGTCCGACGGCCCTGTGTGGGCAGGCTTGGGTGACTGACCTTTCCTTTTTGTTTTGTTTTGTAAACCAGACTTCCAGCTTATAGTTTTGTGGTTTCTTGGTCAATTATTAATGTTGTTAACAATTTCGGATTGTAAAAATAAACCTTTTTCTTGAAATGATTTAACCTGACTGGTTGATTTATGTTCGACTCCCTGTAAAACGAGTCATTAATTTAGGGGTCGTAATATATAATGATAACTATTCTTTTAGGCCACATTCTCTATTCTACTCTTTGGGGAATATTGTCTACAACACAATGCTGAATGATTAAGATCTCAACATAAAGAAAGTTGCAATGGAGGTCATTAAGCTACAGTTTGAAAAGTCATGTGGATACTAACCACAACTCACAAGGTAAGTTGCTTTTACATAAAGTTGTAAAATGAATGAATCATCTGTAACAAACGCATGCAATATACTCATCAATCAATCAATCAATCAATCAATCAATCAATTTTTATTTGTTTAGCGTCAACTCATAACAAGTGTTATCTCGAGACACTTTAAAAAAGCAGGTAAAAGACCTTACTCATTGTTATGTTACAAAAAGCAGGTAAAAGACCTTACTCATTGTTATGTTACAAAAAGCAGGTAAGAGACCTTACTCATTGTTATGTTACAAAAAGCAGGTAAAAGACCTTACTCATTGTTATGTTACAAAAAGCAGGTAAGAGACCTTACTCATTGTTATGTTACAAAGCCGGTCTATCCATCATGAGCACTTTAGCAAAGCAGCAAAAGTTACAGCGGTAAGAAAAAACTTTATTTTTAAAAGGCAGAAATCTTGGGCTGGATCCTCGGCTCATGACGAAACAACCTTCACAGGTCTAGACTGCACCGGGCTTGGAAAGGGATAGGGGAGAAATGATATACTGAATGTTACTTTCTCCTATATAGGTACAACATAGTCATTTTGGGGGCATAGATGACTTTTCCAGAAAGGTATTGATTCAAATAATATACAGTATTTTGTGAGGCACAGGTTTATGGATAATTTCTCTGTGGTTGCATGTAAAATTATTGAATGAAGCCGTTTCAACAAATTATGCTTAGAATGAAGTCCTAGTATTATTAAAGTGGTACTTTATGATCTTTGTCCAGGTCATGTACCTAAAACCTGCCAAAGGGCATCTACTGGCCTCGCTTTCTTCCTGACCTCCTGTGATAAGAACGCTTTGCCCTCCAGGTCAGTAAAAGACAGTGCAGTCTGATATGCACACACACAAGTCATTTGGATGTACTGAATAATAACCTTATATTGAATTTTGCATCTTTTAATACCTCTTCACATATTGCTATGCGAGGAAATGACAGGGGAAGTTACATTCCTGGAAAAAGCGTCCACAACCAGAGGTAAATTACATCAAATGTTTAGCGAGATAACCTGAACCTTGACTCAGCATAATTTATGCTCAGTCTCGATCTCAGTCTCCTGGTCTGACATCGTACTGGACCCTGACAGAGAAATTCCAAATGATGCTATTTGATGCAACGCCACAAGTCTGATTCTTACATTTACTACATTACATTACATCTACATCTACTGTATTATATATTTATTTATTATTTAAGTGCCCCTTTTTACAATTTACACTACTCCTCACTCAACAGATAAAACGGTGATTGTTTTTTAACTTTTTCATGACAGAATGGAGCGGGATGTGTGTGTAACGGGGTTATTGTACATAATTGATGTTCAAAATGTATGTAATGTAATTTCCTGTAAAGTTATCTTATGATCTTATTCCGTTGAGATGTAGATTTAATAGAAAGTTGTATCTTTCATCTCTATCTATGCAAGGCTCCTTTTATTTATTTGACCACAGCGCCCTCGTGTGGCGGTGGTGGTAATTATAGAGGTCTGGGACTGTCAGTTGGTCCCCTTGGCTGGCTGACGATCTCATTTACTGTAATGAAAACAGCTCTGACATGTTGTAAATACTTAACTATAAAAGTAACTTTAATCAAATCAAAGTGCATATAAAGTGACATAATTAGTCTTGTCACGTTTTGTGACTGTTGCTGCGTTGACATTTACACAAGCACAATTAAACCCAAAACACATTAAACACCAAGATCTCAAACATACTGGATCATTTCCTCCCTGAATCCGGGCCTACCGCTCGAGATGAGAGTCTCAACACATGGGACGCGCGCCCTAACCATTGCGTCACCAGCGCGCCCTGAATTTTGCATCTTTTAATACCTCTTCACATATTTCAGGATCAGAGGTGATCAGCGTGTGGAGAACATCGATATTGCTTGATTCATGTCAATATATATATATATATTGTATATTTTGGAGAAACTGTAACAATGGAATTTCCCTCTGGGATTAATAAAGTATTTCTGATTCTGAAATAGAGGACCTTAGTGGGAGTGGCCTGTGGTGTTGTGCATTCTGGGATTTGGTGTCTTTTATCCACATGAGCCAAAAAGACACTTTCTGCCTTTTCTCGGTCAAGAAGGCACCAACTTCAAAATGTATTTCACATTTCTACATATATGACCCAATGTCAATACAGATTCATGTTTCAGCAGGTGAAGTTCCCTTTAAAGATAGAAGAAAGTAAAAGTACAGCTATGAAGGCTGTTGCTCCTGATGACAGGACGTTGTGTTGGATGACAGGATGTTCTGGACTCTGCAGACTTCAGTGCTCATGGTGCAATAAATACTCTTGCAACGCATAAGGTTGTCTCCTTGAAATCATTTAAGACACCGCATCTCGTTTAGTGTGAGGGTTACTGTAGATATGTAGAGTAACCTATCTGGTTTCAATGTAGAGTTCAGTGTTGACTTTACACCAGAACTTAAGACACAACTTACACTCAGCTGGTGCAGCAGGCTGCTGGAACAGATAAACCTCTCCGTACTTTTCTTTCTGATTTTAGTGCAGATCTGGTCTGGAGGATTTTCCTGATCCAGAGCTGATCCTGAGCTGCTGTTGCATGACAGATGTTAGTTACAGGAAAAGAGCCAACCTCAGAAAAAGAGAAGAATGGAATCTGAATCTGAAGAAAAACAGAATGTGTTTAGATCAGCAACCACATACCTTCTTCCTGTTTAATAAACAGCTCAGGGTCACACTGAGCTGTTTCGTGTATAGATGTTGGTGAGTGTTTTTAGTTCTGAAGCTTTGGGGTAAGAAACGATGAAAATGACGGCCTGCAGCTCCATCACCTTCTCCATTTATCTGAGCATCGTACTCCACCTCAGCCAAGGTAAGAGTCATCATCTATGGTTATATAGTTCTTTTAAATCCTATATTTACCAACTACAACAACAAAAATATTCACCTCCTTATCAAATGAAACGTCTCAACAAGCGCTCTTTGGAATCACTTTCAGTTTTATGTACGTAGGTTGAGATATCCCCACTGTGATGGAACTTCAGGTAGCTCACTCCTCGAGCCTGACAGCAGTCACAGCTGTACTGATAGGGGTCAGCCGTTACTACGACAACCAAGGTCACTTTGTGTCTCTCCTTTATCTTTAACCTCACATTGTTATCAAATCACAAGCTTTTAGGGAGAGCAGGTAGGGTAACACACCCCTGACTTTGGCATCATTTAGAGGATAGATACCAGGCCTATGGGACGGTCTGACAGAACTGGCTTAGCAGGACACTTGTGTGTTACATGTGTGGTTAAGTCAGGGCAACGGTGGCTCAGTGGGAGAGTTGGCCGTGTCTCAACCAGAAGGTCGGGGCTCGATTCTTAGCTCCTGCGGCAACATGCCCGATGTGTTCTTGGGCAAGACACTAAATCGCTGCTTCGTCAGCGGGTTAAACCAGAAAACCTTATTAGATTACATTTCGAGATCCATGAGGCAAGGCACGTTTATTTATGAAACACATTTCAACAAGGCAATTCAAAGCACTTCACAGGAATCAGAAACATTTAAATAGAACATTTAAAACAATCACAGAGAAGAGGAAATCTGAGAATATGCCAAAATAAATAGATTAAATAAGACAATGCCTCATTTGTTTGTATAATAATCCATTAGAATTATATTAATTGAAATAAAGAAAGCAGTTAAACGAGGAGCTGATATGTTGTCTTTATTCAGGTTATGAGGTGATTCAGCCGCAGACTCGGACCGTGAACCCCGACAGATCGGCCTCCATCACCTGTGAACACACGGCGAATGTCAACTCTTTGATGGATGTTCGACTCAACAGCATCTCCCCGTAAGTATCCCGATGTTCATGAGTGTTGAAATAAATAGGAAACAGACACACAGATGATGTTTGTGTGTGCGTGTGTTTGTGCACGCCTTCATTGTTGCAGTCAAAATACTGTTTTTATTTCAGCATTATTCTCACTGATTGAGAATGGTTTTATTTGAAATATCCGGGGGGGGGGGGGGGGGGCGGGGAAGGGGTAGCATTGAGAGCTCCCATGATTCCCCGCCAGCCTTGACGTCATCTTTTTGTTATTGTTTTGATTGAGAGCCCCCTAGTGGTGGATTTACATACTGTGAACTTAAATCACATTTGTATAGTTTTTTTGGAGGGCATCTCACGACCCCACTTTGGGATCCCCTGCTGCACAGCACTTTGTTAAACTCCTGTTGTTCCTCAATGTGCCATAGAAATAAAAGTGATAGAGGGGGAGAAATCGTGCTCGGGCACTGTACAAAACAATCGTGACTAATGTGAAAAGGGTTAAGACTTTTTAAATCACTGTCTGACTGACTGTTCCTGTTCTCTGAGAGCCTGTGCCCCTTGTAGCGCTCCTTTAGGAGCACTATGCCCTAACCTCGTTTAATTCATCACCCACAATTATTCCGTCTGAAATAACTGTGCACTGACTTATGCAGGGGTGGCGTTGAGTTTGTGTGTGCTTCATTTCTTTACCCTTTCTTGGGTATCTTTCAGGACAAAAGGAAGAAGCTGAAAGTAAACCTACACCTCAATCTGGAAGTGATGCGTGGACTCTTCTGGAGTTCATTCTGATTGGTCTGCTGGTTCCGACGTTACTGTACAGCTGTATCATCACCTTTTTCTACTTCAAGAGGAGCTTGGAGGTATGACTTCTTGTCTCACAGTTTCTTTAACGTAGTTAAATATATTTCTCTGTTTAGCCCTGTGACTTTTCCCCTCTATTCAAGTCAAGTCAACTTTCTTTATATTGCACATTTCACAAGACAAGCATGGCCTCCATGTGCTTAAAAGAAACAACTAACAATAGACAATACACATGATAACATACACTATGCATAACATATGCATAACAATAAAACCGCAAAATAAAAAAATATAAAAATGTTTTTAAAAAATGCATAAAATGAAACGGCAACACAATAAAAAGGAGTAGGAATAAATAAGTATTTCTTAGTTAAAGTGCAATACATACTCCAATTAATATGATTTAGCCAAAAGCTTGTACAAATACAGTAGATATGTTTTAAGTCTGCTTTTAAAAGAAGACACAGTTGTAGCAGACCGTAGCTCAAGTGGTAATGAATTCCAGAGAGTAGGACCATAATGACTAAAAGCACCATGAGCTGATCTTGAATTAATTTTGGGTACGATGAGGAGACCTTTATTTGAAGATCTGAGGGACCGGTCTGGTGTGTACTCAGTTAGCATGTCAACTAACTTGGTTTGTGACCAGCCTCAAATCGTCCCATGCCCGCCCCCCCCGATCGTTGAAGGGGGCAAATCTGGCCTAAAATTGTGTCTGATATCATCTAGTGCAGTGGACAAGTGACAAGCAGATACTCTGTCTGCATTTCATTAAGCAAATATATTAAACCCTGTAAAATGTGTCTTTTTTTCTGTGTTTCAGAGCAACACAAGCAATCTCCACGTATGTGTAAATGAGGAGATCCCCTGTGCCAAGAAATCCAGAGTTTGACTTGTACAGTCGTTCTGCTCTTCACCCCATCTCTCTTTTTCTAAGAGCTGAAAACAAATGTGCTGCTGAAGATAACCAGCAGAGGGAGACAAAGACCATCTGCTTCTGAACACCTGCTTTCATGTTTGCATGCAAAGTCATATTATCCATTTTGTATGAACAGGTACAGATTATTTTTATTCCCAAATTAAATAGAAGCTATACCACTGTTAGACTTGATGATGTCTTGTACAGTGTGTGTGCATGTTCCAGCCAAACAGAAATAAAAACACACCAGTGATTTTGACTTTTTTATTTGGGGTTGAATCTTGTTGGCTTCTGTGTGATTGTCTTGATATGATAAAACATAATGCAAACGTTTGCAACATCTTTTCAGTCCAATTCTATATTGGTAAATGTGTCCTTTAATTTTAAATTAGATTTAGAAGTTTATTTTAATTCAGTGTCAGTGGTAAGAAAATGGAAAGACAGAAAAAAAGACAGAAAAAAAGACAGCATCTCCTTCCTCATCGTCCCGGGTCTTTATCTCACATGTCAACATTCATACTCTATTCATACATAAACGCTTGTAATCAATTCTTAGTTTTTTTGATGCTGTGCAAAGCTCACAGTCAGTCGTCAGTATTTAAGGAATAACAAGAGCACCAGATATAAAATAAGACAATATCACAGGGTTCAGACTAAAGGTGAAATATAATAATCAAGTTGTGTGTTCTGCATTACTGACCAGGCTTCTTCAGGTTCAAGTTCATTTTACTTTATTTGTACCCGTAGGTAAATTTGGTAGGTCTTTGAAGGATGGCAAAATGTGCAGATAGTGATTGATGGGTAAAGGACATTTACAGATTACAGACGGAGGCTAAAAACACAAACAAAAGACTGAGCTGTCTCTGCAGCAGTAATAGGTTCAACCACAGAGGTCTCTTCTCACGCTGAATTTATAAGACAATGAGGATGTCAAGGAACAACAAAAGCTCAAGTGATCCGTGTGTAACGGCTTTAGAAACAGTCTGAAACTATTACAAACATTTTGCAGAGGGTGTGGTGAATGCTGCTGAATGCTAGCGGAGCATCATGTCATTTGTCAAGCGGAAACATTCCAGCTGTCAAACTTTGAAATGTTAAAAATATAACAGAAACATCCAGTAAAAAAAAAATCCCCTTCATGTGAAGTTTGCTCGTCAACACAAATCTAGACCTGATCCCGTCATAGCGACTTCAAACCAGACTTGATCCAGGTCTGTACTTTGCAAAGACTGGTGTCCTTAACGGTGCAGTTTGAAGGGAATAATTCTTCTTCCTGTAAGACTTTACACTTTTTAAAATATATTTTTGGGATCTTTTTCTTTTGCCTTGATTGGATAGGACAGCTGGGGAGAGACAGAATGTGTAAGGAGGAGAGAGTGGGGGATGACATGCAGAGCCGAGATCAGTATCGTCTATATGTGGGAAACACATTGTGACTTGTCAAGTAGGATTTCAAAGAGATGTGACTAGGTTCTTTGAGCTGGCTAATTTTCTTGGCCTCATTGCAGTTCCTAAATGGTTTACTCCATTTAAAGTCCTTTCCTCACTCTGACTGTATCTGAATTGTCAAGTATATACTCAATCTGTCAGTAGTCAGTACGTACTATCCGTGCTGCATACTGTTAGTACCTACTCTTCAGTATGCACACACAGTAGGCAGATATTTGTTCCTACTTCTTCTGATTCATTCAATAAAGAAGTGACGTCATTTACGTTTCCTGAACCGGGCACATTCACCCGTTTTTTTTTGTTTATCTTTATTGAAGAAGAGTAATGCTCATATACAGTCAGGTAAACAAAAAACAATATCACAATGTAAATCAAGTAAAAGATTAAATAACTAAATAACATATAGTACATAAAGAACAAATGAAAGACAGTAATATACAGAATATAAAATAAACCAATAAAGACACATTTAAATAGTGACATCATTATTTAAATAGTGAAATCATTATTTAAATAGAGGGGGAAAGGTTTTATAATAATGCAGATATTTGTTATATTTTCTGTTGTTTAAATTAAGATTTAAATTAAGATTAAAAATTGATTAAATTAATCCACGCTCGTTTGTTTTGATTTGGAGGCAGACATGATGTGACGATTTACGTTTGATTTCGCACAGCATTGTGGGTAAAATACAATTCATTTCCTGAAAGCACGCATCTGATCCATACTGCATGAAACCAGGAAGTTAGTATCCATACTGAAATGTTCAGTATACTGAGGTGGACCCAAAAAATAACCACTGAATGACCACGAGGGTTCAGTCTACTGAAACTACATACTCAAAAGTACTGCCTACTGGGGCGCGCTGGTGGCACAATGGTTAGGACACGTCCCATGTGTTGAGACTCTCGTCTCGAGCGGTAGGCCCGGGTTCGCTTCCACCCGTGGCCTCTTTCCTCATGTCATTCCCCGCTCTCTCTCTCTCTCTGGTTTCAGACTCTATCCACTGTCCTCTCTCTCTCTGGTTTCTGACTCTATCCACTGTCCTCTCTCTCTCTCTGGTTTCAGACTCTATCCACTGTCCTCTCTCTCTCTCTGGTTTCAGACTCTATCCACTGTCCTCTCTCTCTCTCTGGTTTCTGACTCTATCCACTGTCCTCTCTCTCTCTCTGGTTTCAGACTCTATCCACTGTCCTCTCTCTCTCTGGTTTCTGACTCTATCCACTGTCCTCTCTCTCTCTGGTTTCTGACTCTATCCACTGTCCTCTCTCTCTCTGGTTTCAGACTCTATCCACTGTCCTCTCTCTCTCTGGTTTCAGACTCTATCCACTGTCCTCTCTCTCTCTGGTTTCAGACTCTATCCACTGTCCTCTCTCTCTCTGGTTTCTGACTCTATCCACTGTCCTCTCTCTCTCTGGTTTCAGACTCTATCCACTGTCCTCTCTCTCTCTCTGGTTTCTGACTCTATCCACTGTCCTCTCTCTCTCTGGTTTCAGACTCTATCCACTGTCCTCTCTCTCTGGTTTCAGACTCTATCCACTGTCCTCTCTCTCTCTGGTTTCAGACTCTATCCACTGTCCTCTCTCTCTCCCTGGTTTCAGACTCTATCCACTGTCCTCTCTCTCCCTGGTTTCAGACTCTATCCACTGTCCTCTCTCTCTCCCTGGTTTCAGACTCTATCCACTGTCCTCTCTCTCCCTGGTTTCAGACTCTATCCACTGTCCTCTCTCTCTCCCTGGTTTCAGACTCTATCCACTGTCCTCTCTCTCCCTGGTTTCAGACTCTATCCACTGTCCTCTCTCTGCATTGAAGGCACGAAAAGCCCCCCCAAAAAAAAGTAAAAAAAAAAGTACTGCCTACTGAACTGTGACTATTCGGAAAGGGCCTCTGTCTAAGGGGGCGCGTTCAAACCTGAGCCATTTGGTCCGTTTCAAATGTCAAATAGGTTTGCAGAGCGTTGCTAACATTAGCATAGCTAACCATACTAGCCTTCAGTCCACCTTGCAGGTTAACATCCACATGCCTGTGTTAAGTGTGGTTACTCATCGCTCCGGTCGATATGCCAATTTAACCTGACAGAGCAGACATAACTTTATCTCCATTTTATAGATCGAAATACTGACAAACTATGTTGTGCTTACAGGATGCCATTTTTGCATTCAGCATGAGGTTGAATGGCAGCAGCTACTTACCGGAGCTAAAGCCCCAACATGAGGCGGGTGGCTACAGTCCACAACATCTGACAGGCTTTGATCTGCTTAACTAAGTGCAGAGTGAAAGCAAACTGAATCAAATGAAAAATACAACACAGTTACAACTTCACCCCTTAATCAAGTCCACCAGACTTCATCTGTGAAAGCATCCTTAAGAAGTATCGTGTTTCTGAAATGTACTTTTTAAGTTTCATTCAAACTTTCAAACTGATCCTGATTCAGAAGTCTTTTCTGTACTCATGTTTTTTGTTTGCATATTCTCTTTTGTCAGCAGGTCGTATTAAGGTCCTAACTGTACACTCTAAACAGCCTGCAGGTAGAGATGACAAATCTGAGAGTGCACACATAATGCAGTCACATCTTACCTGTTAGTAATGCCAACAATACATAAATCATGATTGAATGGGGAGAGTCAGCTGAGGTGGAGAGGTGACGCCTGGTGATGGAGATGGTGTGACAGCAAGGTCACATTTCTCTCACAGGGGGTTAGGGCACGCAGTATGAAAACATATTGAAATCCAGAGATATTAAAAATAGGGAGATGCAGTCTGCGTCCGCACATCGGAGAACACAGAGAACATGACAGCTAATTTGTGGCTTATTTTGAGTTATTTTAGTCAGATAGATCCAGAACACTGCAGGATTTCTCCATAATGAAGGCTGTCCAGATTGTGTGCCTGTGATTGTGCTCATACATGAAATGTACTGTGCCATGCACACCTCTCCGAAGCATGCTGGTGCCAAGGAAGTGTACCATGTTTGAGAACTGATCTGAGCACCACACTAGTCAAACAAGCTGGACTTTAGGGGTGAAGCGTGTTTGGGCACGGTATGGATTGCCTAATGTGAGTGTGCCATTATTAACAAGAAAAAAAACAAAGAAACTCTTTAATGTACATTAAACTTGGTTTCCTACAATATTTCAGAAATGTACCATACCCACAGTTGACAAATGCTGGTATCAAGGCTGAACTTTGAAACAATGGAGCTTCTCTGTTAAGTACAAAACCTTGACCAGTATCATTTATCTCCAAAGGGTCCAAGATATGAGAGGGAAGACCAACCTCTGGCTTTACCCCAGCCCTGTTACAAAAGGCTCCATTCAGTGTCTGAGGTTAGTTGTGCATGGCCAGTCTCTGGTCCCAGAAACAAGTGATTCAACCTCAACTGGTGCAGACTAAAGATCCCAAATCTGGTTCGCTTAAAAGATAGGGGTCTATCATATTGTATCAATCTCTTTTTGCTTCCAAGTGCACCAGAGTTCAGTTCGTTGTAGGTGAGAATGCCTACTGGGCCACACAAGGAAAGGGGAACCAGTTCATTGTGGGTTGATTTTGGCCATCTGTAAACAATGTCAAATAGGTTTGCAGAGTGTTGCTAACAGAAAACTTCACCTCTGAGTCAACCGGACTTCATATGTGAAAGCGACCTAAGGGACAACTAAAAGTAAAACTTTCATTAAAACCATCATTAAACATCAGTGGTGAAGAGGAAAAAGCTTCATACTGGGACATTGTTATATTTTGCGTAACAGAGGACTTCAATGAATTATAACCAAAACATTTTGTTTACAGCATGCAATGTTTAGTCATTGGTC